TCTGTTTGGTATTTTCCTCCTTTTGTTCTCTATAGAGAATCTTTGATCAAAACATTCAGTAATGGTAGCTAGGTATTGTGTAGTTTTTCTGGTCTTGTGGCAAAAAAATAATAATAATAATAGTTGTGCATGGATGTAATTAAACACACTTTCCATCTGTTCTTCCTATTCCTGATTCTCCTTCCTCTGTGGCTCCAGGGAAATAGAGACCAATTGTTCTAACTTTGATGGCCACTTGCAAATTTTTAAGATCCCAGCCACTGTGTAACCAACTAGGAGGTAGAACAGAAACACTAAACACATAATTAACTGGGATGTCCCAAGAAATCATGACCCTAAACCTCCAGACCAAGTAACTAAATACAATGAGGTTTTTGGTTGCACATAAGCAACCTCAGAAGCTACGTTTTTTTTGTTTGTTTGTTTGTTTTTTTCTGTCTACATGGTAAATATATCTATCAGACAATTTTTGAAAATTCAACTTTTTTATAGGTGTACAACTTGTTGAGAGTAATTTTGTTAGTTGGCTGTGCCACCATATGTTAGGCAATGTGATTTTTCCCGATGTCCATATGCAATAATAAATGAACATCAAAGCTTACCTCATGTGGTCTAGTATGCCAGAAATGACAAACTGAAGAGGAATGGCATCACATTCATTGTCAAAAAGAATATATCAAGATTGTCCTGAACCATGAGACCAGAAGAACTAGATGGTACCTGGCTACCACAGGGCAGGAGATCCTGGATAGAGTGGGAGAACAATGTAGGACAAAACTCAAAATCATAAAAAAAAAAAAAAAAAAGACCAGGTCTACTGGTCTGATAGAGCCTAGTGAGACCCCTGAGACTTTGGCCCCTAGTTGCCCTTCATATCTGGAACTGAACTCACTCCTGTGGCTTCCAGCCAAACAATAGGCAGACATATGGGGTGAACATTTGCATCAGGTAGGTACACTTCTTGGAGTGATAATCATGGGAGAACAGAAGGACAATATTTGTACAGAAAGATAGTTTGGGTGGCAGGAGTGCATGAGAGGGAAGGACACAGGGAAGAGGTAACAAGAGTAACTACAGGGAGGAAATGGGAAGAGAGTTGTTACATTGTGAGGAATTGTAGTCAATGTCATGAAGCAAAATGTGTATGAACTTTTGTATGGAAAATAAATTTGCTCTGTAAACTTTCACCCAAATTACAGTAAAATTTAAAAAAAAAAAAAATCTGTCCTGAAATATAATGCTGTCAATGATAGGACAGAGCTCTGGTAGCATAGTGCCTAAGGCACTTGACTGCTCACCAGAAGGCTGGCGGTTCAAACCCACCAGCCACTACTCGGAAGGAAGGTTGGGCAATCCTACTTCCGTAGTGATACTGCCTCGGAAACCCAAGGAGGGGTCGCTATGAGTCGGGGCCGACTCGACGGCACATAACAACAACAACATAGGAAGATCAGTTAATATCACTATTATTTAAATTAATACACTGACCACCAAAACCAAAGATGAAGAAATTGGAAATTTTTACTAAACTTTGCAGTCTGAAATTGACCAAACATGCAGTCAAGATGTATTGATAATTATTGGTGATTGGAATGTGAAAGTTGGAAACAAAGAAGAATCATCAGTGGTTGGAAATATACGATAGAAATGCTGGAGAGTGCATGATAGAATTTTGCAAGACTCATTTAAGTACTTTTTTCAACAACATAGGCAGCAACTATACACAAAGACCTCACCAGATGGAATACGCAGTAATCAATCAACTACTAATAATGTCAGAAAACAATACTAGACAAGTGCAAATTAAAAGAATCCTGCAAAATGGTTGACCTGTAATCCTCAAAATCCTCAAGGTCATAAAAAGAAAGATAGTGGTGTGGGTGAAGAATAATGAAAGCACCATGGACTGCCAAAAGAATGAAAGAAGAACAGCCAGAATGCTCCTTGGAAGCAAGGATGGCCAGACTTCGTCTCACCTCCTTTGGTCATGTTGTCAGAAGAGACCATTCCCTGGAGAAGAATGTCATGCTTTGTAAAGTGGAGGGTCACTGAAAGAGAAGAAGGCCCTCAACAAGATGGATTGACATGGTGGCTGCAGCAATGGGCTCAGGTATAGCTAGGGTAGTGAGGCTGGAACAGAATGAGGCAGTGTTTTGTTCTGTTGTACACAGGGGCGCTATGAGTCAGAGCCGACTCGATGGCACCTAATAACAACAACAACTTGATATTTAATGAGAAATTATTCCTAATTGTATGCATAATATAATATACATATTATTCCTAATATGTATGCATAATATGCATACTATATATATATATACATAGATAGATGGTTTATGATGATCAAATTGATTGTGTGGTTTTGAAAATTTTATTTTTCAAAAAAAGAACTCACTTCAAGAACTGAGTGAGTATGTAGATTAAAAACAAGTAAACAAATAGTCATGTCTCAACAAAAGCTCCAAAATTCTTTTCCAAAGAAATATTTTGTGGATAATGAACTATAAAAACCAGTGTTCCAAGTATATTTGCAACCAGACTCAAAGTTGAATTAATTAATTCACTCATTAGTTTAACAAATATTGAATGAGATGTTAGCAAACCACGGGCACAGTTAACGTGTTGAAGGTGAAGTTGTTAGTATAAGGTTCGGTGCTGGAAGAGAAATCAGGCCGGTAGAGTTTTGAAAGTATATTAAAGCATCTGCATGCAGATGGGCTGAGACCAGAATGGTGTCAGCCCAGGCTGAGCTCAACAATGCATCGGTGCCGAGCTGGGGAAGTTGGGAGTTTTCAGTAGGGTGGCAGGCAGTCTATCAGCAGTTCTGTTGTGAGAGAGCAGACCATAGCTCTCTTGGTAGCAGCAGTCAAGACAGTGGATGTTCAGCTGTGTTCTTGGAAATGTAAGCTTCAGTCTTTCTTTGCCATTCTGTCTGTCTTGTCTACCCAGTTCTTAAAACTGGGTTGTGGCCACTGTCCTGTTATTCAACTTAATTTTTGGAGAGAAAAAGTTTTAGGACTAAAGAATAAAAATAACATGAGAATTCTAATTCAAGACCTATATCTATCAGTTAGTAAAGCAGAAAAAGCCACTGATGTTATGGATGGTACATTCTAGTTAGATAACATAGGTGGGCAGGTGAACACATGTGCAGTAATAATAATTGAGTAATGTTGTGGACTATGAAGAAGAAAGCTGGAAGGGAGCAGTGTGCATCAGGGAATGGGGTGACTATAACATGGCCACATGTAAGCAGAGACCTGAAAGGGGTCGGGAATGTGACGGAGCATTCTGAAAGGAGGGAGCAGCAAGTAAAAGGCCCTGGAGCAGGAACATGCTTGGACTTGTCCAGGGATAACAAGGAATCAGTGGGAATGGCGTGAAGTGAGTCAGCAGGAGAGTGACAGAGCTGATGTAGCTCAACCAGAACTAAAGCATGCATGACTTGTGGGCATTAACCATTTAATATAATTTTCAGTAAGAATTAGGTTAATATTATCATTACTCTCAATTATTTATTTGTACAAAATATGAAACGTTGGTAGTCATGTATGAGAAAGCTAGAAAGAAAATAATAAAAAGGCTTATTATTTATCTCCTTTTCTTGTGTTCCATATCTTTTTCCTTTTGAAAATTATCATGCAACCATAAAGTTTCTAGAAGCTCTAGTGGCATAGTGCCTAAGGCGTTGGACTGCTAACCAGAAGACTGGTGGTTCAAACCCACCAACCACTCCTGGGAAGGGAGACTGGGCAATCTACTTCAGTGGTGCTACTACCTCAGAAACCCAAGGAGAGGTCGCTAGGAGTCAGATCCGACTCCACAGCAGTGCGTTTGTACAGTTTCTATCATGATTTAGTAAAGAGAAAAATTAATTCCTTTATAGGTCTGGATAAAATAAACCAAAAGCAAATATATTTAATAAAAAAATCATATCACCTTACCTTCATTTTGGACTCTTGGAAGTTTTTCAACTGAAGAAATAAGATTAGACATGAATTTGTGTCTAATTCACGAATTAGTTATTTTAATTTCTTTTCTTAAAAACTAGTGACACACCATTTACCTAATTATGAAAATTTCCATTCCTATGTATAAGTGTGCACATTTGACCCTTGCATAGTCTTCTATATGTGGACTTTTATGTGCATTGTTCGATATATTTGCTTGAATTGTCATGTGGTAGAGAACATGTGAATAAATCAAATGTTATTAAAATGGTTTTTGAAGAGCAATACCCAAATATTCTTCAGTCCCCTGTTCTGGTTCCCTGGTGCTGCTCTGACAAGAAATACACCACCAATGGGGTGGCCTTAACAAACAGGAGTTTATTATTACAATTTGGAGGCTTTAAGTCCACATTCAAAGTGCCAGGCTCTAAGGGCTGGGTGAAAGCCACTCAACCTTGGGGTCCAGCTCTGCCTCCTGCTCCCGGCCCACTGGAGCTAGGGGCATTTCTTCACTCAGACAGCTGCTGGCTGCTGAGGCTAAGAAGCCCCAAGGTTGACAAGTAAAAAGGCACAGTCCTGATGTTACCAAACCACACGGCAAGCCATTAACTTAAGTCCATTGTAAATCCCAAGGTCAGCAGAATATAGCAAGCTGGTGAGCAATGACACGGCTACATGCAGGGTCCAAGCATGCCATGGGCTAGAGATCATTCCCAAGGCTTCTCCTTATATACAGGAAGCAGACCACATCTCAAAGGCAGCTACTCAGCTGCTCGTGGTAGATCCCACCATGGAGTTGATTGCCAGTCTCATCATAGGGAATACAACCACCAGCTGCCCAGCCACTCAACCAGGCCCAGCCACCACATCCCCCAAGCCATCCTCATTCATGTATTATATTTATGCATATATATTTTAGTTTTTCTAGACAAAATATTTTTTATAAAGTCATTGTATCACCTTAGGAATTAAGTCCATTGAAGGTCTTGAAGTATGAGACATTGTAGAGAGAAGATCTGAAGGAATAGTAGGTAGTTGTGGATTCCAATATTAAAAAGTTAAGCAGAAAGACAACTTTGCCTTCTCAAGAACCTTCTTGAATGCACTCATGACATCTTTGTTCCGCAGGCTGTAGACCAGAGGGTTCAGCATAGGGATGATCATAGTGTAGAATACAGATGCTATTTTGTCTGTGTCCATGGAATGACTGGAGGTGGGCTGTATGTACATGAAGACAACTGTCCCATAGAACATGGAGACTGAAATGAAGTGAGAAGAACAGGTGAATAAAGCCTTCTGATACCCTTGAGCTGAGCCTATCTTTAGGACAGTGATAAATATGAATAAGTAAGATATCAAGATAACAAGAAGAGCAAAAAAGATATTGATGGTTGCCACACAAACAAGAACCATGTCACCAACATGTCTATCAGAGCAAGAGAGAACCCTGACTGCTGGAGCATCACAAAAAAAGTGATGGACCACATTGGACGTACAATACGAGAGGTGGAACGTGTCTCCTGTGTGGATGGAGCCATTCAGAATACCACCAACATAGCAACTGATAACAAGACGTGCACACATACCCGTTGTCATGGTGGTGGTGTAATGGAGGGGTTTACATACTGCTGCGTAGCGGTCATAGGCCATTGACGCCAAGAGAAGATTTTCCACTGAAGCAAATATTGCAAAGAAGAACATCTGAGCCGCACATGCATTGTAGGAGATGGTATTGTCTCCTGTAAGGAACCCAGCCAACACCGTGGGAGTGACAGCTGAAGAGTAGCAAAGGTCCACCACAGACAGGTTACTGAGGAAAAAATACATGGGTGTGTGGAGACAAGAGTCCAACAAAATCAACACAATCACTCCCAGGTTCCCAAACACATTGATGAGGTAAATGAGGGTGAACATTATAAAGAGAGGGATTTGCAGCTCTGGGGCATTGCTTAGTCCGAGCAGCATGAACTGAGTCACTTGGGTTCTGTTCTCCATTGATGTTATCTGGGAATTGAGAGTGCACTGTGTCAATGAGGGTTAAAAGAACAGAGTGTAACAGAAGAGACAATGAAGTGAAATTGAAATCAGTAAATACCATGTGAATTATTTCATTATAGCAATAATTTATATTTTGAGATTTTTGTATATATATACACCATGAGCTTGACAATGAAATTTATTGCATAAATTGTCTGTACAGTTACAATTATTGAAGCAGAAGGATCTTTCTGGAACATTTCCCTGTTTTTTGAATTTTATACATTCTTACTCTGAACCATAGAAAATGTGATAACTAGGCCAAGATAACATGTCCAGAATGACTTTAACTTCCAACTCAGTGCTCCTAAGCCTAATGAAAACGTTTATATCTCTTACCTGCCCACACTGCTCTAGACACCTTATATGCCCAGTCATGTATTCCTTGCAACAACCCTTTGAGGTTGATTAATTCTTATCCCCATTTAACTTGTGAGGCACAAAATGTTGAGTAATTTATTCAAATTGACAGAAATATTAACTGGCAAATCCATGCTTAGGATCCAAACACATGTCTTCTCAATAGTCTCAACTGAAATTAAATCAAATTTAATTTAAATCAATTTAAAGTTACTCATTGTCTCCATTGGTCCAAACTCTATGTTTAAGGAAACACAATGAAGTAACTGAGAGATATGTGTGGTAGATATGGTGACATAACTGCAGAAGTAGGGACATGTAAAGCCAGCAAAGACAATTGTGAAGCATTGGGAATAGAGGTTTGGTACTATGAAAAGGTGTGTATGTGTTCAATATTAGCTCTATCATTTACTGCCCAGCAGTCGCTGGTCCTAAACTAACTTCTTAGAGCCACATTTCCTCCATCTGTAAATATAAAGATGGCAGTAAGACCTACCTCAAGGTATTATTGTGATAATTAAATGAGATAATGCATAAAAACGGGGAGTAAAATTTGTGTGTTCACCATAACCTGCTTGGTGGTGGTGTTAGGTGCCATCAGTAACTCATAAGGTACCTGATGTGTAGCAGAACAGAAATGCCTGGTCCTGCACGATCCTGCTTGAACCCATAGTTGCAACTGCTGTGTCAAGCAGTCTCATGGAGGGTTTCCCTCTTTTTTTGAACCTCATACTCTAACAAGGAGCTTTGGTGGCACAGAGACTTTGAGTTTGACTACTAACCAGAAGTTTGGTGGTTCAAACCCACCAGCTGCTCTATGGAATGAAGGTGAAGCAATCTACTTTGGTAAAGACCTACTGCCTTGCAAACCCAATGGGGGTCACTACGAGCTGGAATTGACTCAACGGCACTGGGTTATATAGACTTTAACAAGCATAAGCCTTTCTCTAGCAATTGGTCTCTCTTGATGACATGTCCAAAGTAATCAAGATGAAGTCTATTCATCCTCGCTTCCAGGGACATTCTAAAAGTATTTCCTCCAAAGGAGAATTTTTTCATTCTGGCATTCCATGTTATACTCAATATTCTTCACCAATGGCATAATTGAAATGCATCAATTCTTTGGTCTTACTTTCTCATTGCTCAGATTTCGCATGTGATATGATGTAATTGAAAAAAGCAAGTCTTGGTCAGCTTCACCTTAGTCATCGAAATGACATATGCTTTCTAAGACTTTAAAGGGAAATTTTACAGAAAATTTGTGCAATGTAATACTTCAACCACTGTTAGTAGTAGGTATATCATTAGGTATAATATTAGGATGTGATGATGACTTTTATGTTGGTCTTGCAAAGGGTTGATGGTGACATACAGGCTTTCATCTGTTTTCTTTTTTAATAATTTTTAACTAGAGCTGATTAACTTTACTTCAAGGCCAACAGATAGTGAAAAAGATGATGTTACTACTCCATCAGAGTATCATTTATCCTATTTTTGTTTATGATTTTTATTTGTCTTCTTTTGGAGAGCCACATGATGTTTTGTAACTATCACTGAACTCCGTACTGCTGGAAGCTTTGACATTTGTATCTCAACCTTATTTAACTGTTTTAGAAAAGTGTTTAATCTATTATTTTGGGATCAAATAACTCATATATAACTTCCCCTCTGATTTTACAAGAATTTCACTACTTACTAAAAGTTTACAAGAAATAAAAAAACTTCCCTTGATTTTCTGTTAAAAAGAGAAAAACAGTTCTGATTTGTGAGTTTGAAATCAGAAATTCAGTCAGGGAATAATGCCTTGATACTGTTAGAGAAGCTGGGCCTCAGGTTCTGGTGAAAAGGTCCCATGATCTTGAAGTGATGGAAAGATGGAGGAAAGAACATTAACAAGCAGTCGGAAAACCTTGGTTGAAGTCCTTTACCTACCAAGCATTCTTTCCCTACCCTCAGAGGAGTCACTTGGACTTGGACTCACTACTGTCGAGTCAGACCCGACTCATAGCAACTCCTCCTTGGATTTCCGAGGCAGTATCACTGGAAGGAGATTGCCCAATCTTCCTTCCGAGGAGTGGCTGGTGGGTTTGAATCGCTAGCCTTTTGGTTAGCAGTCAAATGCCTTAGGCACTATGCTACCAGAGCTCTGAGGAGTCACTTACCTCTTCCTTATTAGTAAGACAAACATAATGAAGTGCCTGCTCCCACATACTTCACAGAATTATGGTTATGAAGAGCAAATATATATGATTTCCAGGTGGAGTAAAGCTAACAACAGCCTCCAGTTGTCTCTTGTGATGGTGCCTGAGGAGGCAGCAGGCTCCAGTAGGTGCAGCTGCTGATGCTGAAGCTTACAATCACCTGTAACTTTGAGTTGCCAAGGTAACAGGGCTCCCTTCCCCAGACAATCTGTGTGATGTACGTGTAGTAGCATAAGTGAAAACAAATCTTCCACGGGCTCGATAATGGTTTCCCAAGATATCAGGTCCTAATCTTTGGAATTTGTGAATGTTACCCTGTGTGATCAAGACTCTGCTGATCTAGATAAAGATCTAGAGATAGGAGAGATTACCTTTGATAATATAAAAACAATTCACAAAGAAAGTGTAATTTCACATTACTCAACATAATTTTCCTTTTGGGGTGTTCCCTATACTCAGATTTGGATATGGTTGCATGTGTGCTAACAGTTGATAACATTCATTTGAGTAAATGATTACCAAAGGGGTTCTCTGCACAGTCTTGTCCCTAGATTGATGTCTTATGGAGTGATGCCATGATGTCAGAGACTAATGTATGGAAACAAGGATGGAGTTACAAAGACACAGAGCTCTCAGGGGATGTCCTCCATGGGGGTGTCTACAGCTCCTCATCTCAATTTTCTACAGAAAATTATCTCATCTCAAAATTACCTCATCTCAATTGTCTACAGAAAACACGTAGGCCCATGGGGACCTAGGGGGGCATGCTCAGTGCAGGGTGAATACATGTTTATGTATCACTTGTTGTCATTTCTTTTTTCCTACTTCTGAATTATGTATTATTTATATACAGTAATATCCATCTTTTCTGGTGAATAATTCTAAACTTGGTCTAATGTCTATGGTCATGTAACCACTACTACAATCACAATGCAGAACTGCTTAATCAATTCAACAAATACCCTGTGTTTCTTGGCCAACACCTTCTCCCACCCACCACTTTTGGCAACCACTAAACTGTATTGTCTTCATATGGTTTTTCCAAGAATGTCACATAAATGAGATCCTAATATTTGTAGTTGTTTTTCACTTAGCATTTCAGATCCATCTATACCGTTATCTGTATCAGTAATGGAATCCTTCTTATTGTTGATTTGTATTCCATTATTGGACAGCAGCTGTTGTATCCATTTCCCAGTTAAGGGTCATTTATATTAGTTTCAGTGTTTAGTGATTACAAGTCAAAGCATTCCAAACACTTACCTAAATATTTTTGCATGAAAAAAGCTTTTTATTTTTGCTTTTCACATTTAATCTGAATAAATATAAAGGATCTGGATTTCTTGGGAGTGTTGTAAGTATATGTTTAATTTATAAGAAACTGACAACTGTTTTCTGAATTGGCTCTTCCATTCTGTATTCATACCAACAATGTATTCAAATTGCTTCACATCCTTGCCAGCACTTGTTATCGTAAAGCTATTTAAATTGAATTTTATTTTTATTTAATTTGGTTTTTTGCCCTTTCTCACAGAAGTCTCAATACATCCCCTTAGAAACATTTTTTTAAATACCCATTTGCCTTAACACTGAAGATCAGGCCTGGGAATGTTTTTTCAACAAATGAGACACAGCAATTCCGTTTTCTGCACAGTTGCCTCTGAGCACACACTCCCACTCAAACTTACTGCACCACATTTAGCACAGGCAAGTGTAGAAGCTAAAAAAATTATTCTGTATAGTCAAGTACATGGGGCTCAAATTCAGGAAAGTGATTTAACCTCTTCAAATTTCAGCTTCTCATCTGTAATAATACAATGTATCTATCATTAAATTTTCCAGAAGATTTTGTGAGATTATATTTATGTTGTTGTTGTTGTACACCTTTGAGTTGATCCTGAGTAATAAAGACCTTATATGGCATAGCAGAATTGCTTCATAGGGTTTCCTTGACTGTAATCTTTATAGAAGCAGATTTCCAGGGCTTTTACGTTATGAAGCTCCTGGGTGGGTTCAAAGCACTGATGTTTTGGTTAGCACCTTTGTGCTTAACCATTGTGCCAACAGGGTTCCTTGAAATTATATATCTATATCTATATCTATATCTATAGGAGTTCTGGTAGCATAGTGGCTAAGGCACTTGACTGCTAACCAGAAGGCTGGTGGTTCAAACCCACTAGCCACTCCTCGGAAGGAAGATGGGGCAATCTACTTCTGTAGTGATACTGCCTCGGAAACCCAAGGAGGGGTCGCTATGAGTCGGGTCTGACTCAA